ATATGATATGCAAGCATCCCACGTGATGGCCTAACCACTGCACTAAATGCCTGTCCTGACTTTCGTTTTTTCTCTCTACCATCAAAAGCCTGGAGTGAGTGTCTTCACAGACCCCAGGTTCTATCTGCAGTGTCTGAGCAGAGAGTTTCTACCAGCAGCACTGTGGCTATTGCATTTTCACATAGTTGGGAGTTCAAGGATATGAAGCTACAGTGGAGAATGGACTTTTAGGTGACATTCAGACAAAGAAGCAGCTGATGAGTAGGGAGAATGAACGGAGAGACACGCTGAAGCGAACTGGACAGCCGTGCCAGCAGGGAAGAGAGGACAGGTCGGAGCACACACTGAGGGAAGCTGATGGACCACAGGGAGCCACAGGCTGTGTGCAGAATTCAGCCCTTCTGCAGAGTTCAGAATATGAGGGGTTTTCACAGCGTTCACGGAAGATGGAATTAAAAGATGTTTATTTTGGTGCAGAACAACTTTGAAATCTGTTCTCACCAGAAGTGTTGAAAAAGGTCATGAAAAACGTGTGTCATCTTTGAGATGTGATGACTTTGAGCGGCCCTTGTTCTGAATGTTGACGGACAGATTTCTTTATTTTTCCATGCTATCTGTTGAACTCTTCACTTAATGTAGGGTTAGTCCAATGAGTGCAAAAATTAATTGAAAATTGATCTTTGTATAATACAAAAATGGGAATAATAGAGGGAGGAGAAAAAGGTGGGAAGAATCACTATGTTTCTAAATTTGTATAGATGAAATGTATGAGGGTTTTATACTTTAAATAAAAGGTTTCTAGGTAAAAAAAAGTATCATAAGAAAACAGATTTCAATTTTTTTACACATCAAAGTAAACTTATTTTTAAAATTCTGTTCTCCATAAATGTTTGAAGCACCCTCATGTGAAGAAGTTAGAGTTCAGGTAGCTGTAGTTTCCACTTTAAACCAAGGAATGAACTAAAGGCCTAGCCAGAAAAAAAAAAGAGCACGAAAACTTATAAATAGATCAGTCATGGACTTGAACTACAGACAGGGACTGATCCAAAGGAATCCCTGGCCAACACCATCACCTTGTCATCAGCTTTTAGGGGAGCAGCTTAAACTCAGTCACTCAGCACACAGAGAAATGCCTCTGCTGAGATCTTCCTAGGTTATGTGAGACGTCATCATCCTGAAAAGGACGAGGCAGCACAGGGCGTGACTGCTTAGATGACGTCAAGTTGTGGGCAACCAGTAGAGGCCAGAGTCCCACCCCTTGAACCAATACAGCTGCAAGGCTGTTTTCTGAGGATATGGAGACTGGATTTTAAGGACTCATAACTTCTCCGATAAGGATAAAATGAGGATATGGGAGAAAGGGTAAAGACGTGATATTTCCTCCTTCCCCATTCTTAGAAAGTCTATCATTCCACAAGTCAAAAACAGGTTGTTCTAAAAGCAACATATATATTCATCATAGAATTTGTGATTACAGAATCCACGAGTACAGGAACAGTTCACTTTTTAATGGGTTTTAAATACTTGTCTGCAAACTGTTTTAGTCTTTTTTTTTTTTTTGAGGGGGGAAGGGAAAGCAAATTTGTGATTCTGTTACTTACTTTTAGAGTTTGGAATTGACTATCTATTGCTTGGTAACTTCGATTTCCTCTTTTTTCCATTCCCTGAAAATAAAATTTTATAAAAGGAGATGAGCTGAGAAAGGAAGTTCACTTCAATATTCCAAAAACAAACAAACCCTAAAATAAGGTAGTAACAAAAGGATTTTCTTTCATTTGAAGTAGAAGCCTATAGGCTAGGGACTGTCTTTAAAGGAGACTTGAGCCATGTGGCTTAAAAACTACTTGAAAATGACTGTTTGCTAGTAAGGCCAGAGTCATTTGAACAGGGAGTATACATTATAAGACAGAACTTATTTGAGAGAAAAGATATCCATCTTGGAAGATACATTTTCACAAACAGAGGTTCAGAAAATGATTTGACTGCCCTCTAAATGTTCTTACAGCCTGTCTAAGCTCACAAGTGCCACAGTGACAAGGCAGCTGGATGAAGTGTGATGCCTGGGGAAGAATATGGAGCCAAGTTCATGGACACCCAGGGGAGCTGCCAGCCCTGCTGGGTTAGTCAGTCCACATTAACGAGGACTCATTGACAAACTCGGAGGCTTTGTCACCCACAAAGGCGGTTGTCCCACAGTATCCACAGGTGATCAGTTCCAGGATTCTCTGTGGATACCAAAACCCACAGAGGGTCAAGTCTCTTGTAGATGAGACCATCAAAAATGCAATGGAAAATGAAATCAAATGATAAACTGGTTATATAGCCATTTTTTTAAAATCCAAGAATATAAATATAAAATGGTATAGTATCTGCATATAACTGACACATATATGCCTGTGTGCTTTATATTTTTAAACTTATTTTCTATTTGAAAGGCGGAGAGACAAAGAACTCCCATCTGCTGGTTGCCTGCAACAAACAGGAGTGGACCAGGCTGAAGCCAAAAGATAGGCAGGACCTCAATCGCTGTCTCCCATGTGCCTTCCTTCCAGGGTGTGTATCAGCAGGAAGCTGGAACTGGGCACAGAGCAAAGGAGCAGATGCAGGAACTCAGCCATGAAATGAGGTTGTCCCCAGTGGGGTCAACCACTGCATCAAGCACCTGCCTCTCCTATATCCTCTAAGCCATCTCTGGATGACTTATATACACAATACAATGCACATGTTATGTGAACATTGTTACATTGTCTTGTTTAGGGAGCATGTTCATGCAGACACAATTTATTATTATTTTTCTGTATATCTTCAACCACAGTGGACTGAATGTGCAGATTCACAGCCCAGTGATAGGAAGGTCTGACTGCTCTTAAGCAGGGATTTTGTTTAAATATAATTTCCATATATGAAACTAGTGTGTCAAACTTAAATAGTGCTAAATCATATGATCCCACGTACAAATTATCAGTAAATCAGACCTGAGCTGCTACTTTAAAAACTCCCTACTCACATCTAACCTGTTTTCTATACAAGTTAAGAAGAATTGTCAAATTAAACTGCTAGTATTTGATCACAAATAAATGATATCCCAAAGCTGGAGGTGCAAATGTGACCTAGCGGGAAGATGAACAAAAATGCAGCAGTTCTGGTTAGCAGAGTGATGTTCTTAGCCACCTCCGGGTCTCTGCATCTAATCAACTAGGGTGCCTCTTTGCCCACTTCAGTATAAACTTCCTGAAAAGTCAATGATGAATGTGGGCTAGAATTAAGATCCGAAGAGATTTTCCTCACTACTGCAGTGGCTCGGGTGTAGGAACAGCGTAACTCATTCCTTCTCATCTTTCAGAGAAAATTCGTTGGCCTGAAACAGACCTTGTAAATATTTCATGGGTGTCCTTCCAACCTGACGGGCCCGAGGACAAAGGTTTTGAATTGCACCCTGGCAGCTTGTTCTGGAAGACACAAAGTCCTGTGGAGTCAAAAGCATTGGTAGAAAATTCCCATCCACTTAACTTCTTGGAATTTAATGCCAGGTTGACAGTAATGGTGGGGTTTATGTGTTCATCCTGGCCAATTGATAACAGTTTCTTGGGTTATTTGGGCCTGAAACATTTAGCACCAAGTAACTTTAATCTGAATACTCTGATTTCCTGAAATAGTATTTTTTGACTTGTGTGAATAAATGGATCATTAATGACATTTATTTACAGTGATGAAGTTGTAAGGTTTTATAACTAACTGGCAATTTAAATGCACTGTAAACGTGAAATGTTTTGAAATAAGATTTGTAGTAATGATGTTACTCAACTAGGACTCTGTTATTGGGACTAATAACTTATATGCAGTAGGACTCACTGGTTTGTTCTTTGGGGGAAAAAAAAAGTCCTGTAGAAATATGATGATGTTGCAACCAGCTTCCTGTTTTTTTTTTTTTTCAACAAAACTCAATAAATGTTTAATATTTACAACTTATAATATTTGAATACATGTTAGCTTTGTTTTGAACATGATTGACTCAATCGTAAGTTTGCATAATTTTTTTTTCATTTTTACATTACTTTTTTTTTCATTTTTATCTTTTATTTAATGAATATAAATTTCCAAAGTACGATTCATGGGTTACAATGGCTTCCCCCCCCATACCGTCCCTCCCACCCACAACCCTCCCCTTTCCCACTCCTTCTCCCCTTCCATTCACATCAAGATTCATTTTCGATTATCTTAATATACAGAAGATCAGCTTAGTATACCTTAAGTAAGGATTCAACAGTTTGCTCCCACCACAGAAACATAAAGTGAAAAAATAATAGATGATTTTTTGGAATAATGATGAAATCAGATCAGACCTATTGTCATGTTTAATCCCAGTGAGAGTCAAGTTGGGAATTGATAATTTCTTTCTTTTTTTTTTTTTTTTTTTACAGAAGATCAGTTTAGTGTACATTAAGTAAAGATTTCAATCGTTTGCACCCCCATAGAAACACAAAGTGAAATATACTGTTTGAGTACTCGTTATAGCATTAAGCCTCAGTGTACAGCACATTAAGGACAGATATCCTACATGAGGAGTAAGTGCACAGTGACTCCTGTTGTTGACTTTACAAATTGACACTCCTGTTTATGGCATCAGTAATCTCCCTATGCACCAGTCATGAGTTTCCAAGGCTATGGAAGCCCCTTGAGTTCTCCGACTCTTATCTTGTTTAGACAAGGTCATAGTCAAAGTGGAGGTTCTCTCCTCCCTTCAGAGAAAGGCACCTCCCTCTTTGAAGACCTGTTCTTTCCACTGGGATCTCACTCACAGAGATCTTTTGCCAGAGTGTCTTGGCTTTCCATGCCTGAAATACTCTCATGGGCTTTTCAGCCAGATCCGAGTGCCTTTAGGGCTGATTCTGAGGCCAGAGTGCTATTTAGGACATCCGCCATTCTATGAGTCTGCTGAGTATCTCACTTCCCATGTTGGATCACTCTCCCCTTTATTTATTCTATCGGTTAGTGTTAGCAGATACTAGACTTGTTTATGTGTTCCCTTTGACTCTTAGTCCTTTCATTATGATCAATTGTGAACTGAAATTGATCACTTGGAATAGTGAGATGGCATTGGCACATGCCACCTTGATGGGATTGAATTGGAATCCCCTGGTATGTGCAACCAGCTTCCTGTTAAGGCACAAAGTAATGGCTCCAGCGGTTAGGTCCTGGTCACCAGCATGGGAGACCCGGGTCGAGCTCCATCCTACTGGCTCTGGCCTGGCCCAGTCCCCACGCTTGTGGAAATTTGGGGAGTAAATGAGTGGATGGGAGTTCTTGTTTTCAATCTCTCCCTCTCCATCTTTTAAATAAAATTTAAAATAAATGAACTAAAAATTGTATTTTGATCCATACAATTTCAAGTTATACAGTGGACTAGTGTTGCCACACATACGTATATATAATATTAACGTTCTGCCTACTCACAGAAATGTGATGTTAGACATTCCAAATTCTTACTGTGATATACTGAACTGTGCAATACAGGCACAGATCAATAAAAATAACAGACATTAATCTGAAGAATACATAAAACATGATCTTAAATCTGTATTGGAAACAATTCCATCTAGAAAAAAACACTTTCATCCCAAGACAGATAAGTCCAATCTATTGAACTATGACAAGTAATTGCCCACAATCCAACATTAATAAAATTCCACAAATGTGATCTTACTGTAGAGCTTACAATGGTGAAATTTTAAACGGTCCATTCCTGCATTAGATTTTCTATGTTGTGGTTTTAGTTATTTTATTATAGCGGCTTGACTTTGACTATGTGACTTTGCAACACTCAGAAATGAAGAGGCACTATTATCTGTGCTATAAACATATGCACGGAAGACAGAAGCAGCTGAAAAGTCCCCAGTTAAGACAAATCCCACCTCCATACACAATATGGATCACAGATAATAGGAAAAATACATTGCAAAGTGTGAACCAGGGAGCATTAAACACTGAACATAACCACAATGTTGGCTTCAAACGATGTCTGTAGACACTATGTTCAGATTAGTCTGTGCTATTTAACCTGAGTTTCAGGAGACTACCAACGTTGTCCACAGTCAGCATGCGATTCTTGGCAAGGGGGAAGCACGTGGTCTCTAGGCCCCAGGGACACCTGCCACCCAGTGCACACACAGCTGCTTTGCTGAGGGCCTGCACCTTCAGCAGAGCAAGTTCTTCCAGCTGCTCTCAGCACCACGCCTCTGGGCCCTCCACAAGTCAGGTGCCTCAACATTATCTCCCAAAACCTGTTTGTGGGGAGCAACTCGGACTAGACTAAGTTCCTGGAATTAAGACTTATTCTACGCATCTGCTCTCCCACAATATGGTGCTGGGAGAGGAGTAAACAGCTTCTACGCAGCTGCCTCCAGTTCGACCAATAACCTGCAGGAGCTGATCCTGCTCCTGATTGGAGGAGAGCAGCGTACTCGGCGTGTGGGTAGCAGAGTTGGGATTGGTGGAAGAGGACTATAAAGGAGGAGAGAGACGACATGCACCAGGAACATCTAAGGGGAACATCCAGATAACATCTGAGCAGGCCCCGAGAGAGAGCTGGCCGGCGGTGTGCCGCTCCCTCGCGGAAGTGGGGAAAGTGGCAGGGGGAGCCGCCCTTCCACGGAGGTGGAAGGATCGGCAGCCAACCTGGGAAGAACCAGCAGCAAACCTGGGAAGGGCCAAGCAGACGAAAGAACAGCACAGGATCCTGTGTCGTTCCTCCGCGAATGGGGGAGTGACACTGTCTTGTGCATTTTTCTAAACTTTTAAGGCAAAAAAAATTGGAACATACCAATGAAAGATACAGCCAAACCTGTACACCTATCACTCCATCACCAGTATTTTGCCAAATTTGCACCAAACAGGTCAAAAACCACAGCACAATTGAGAATGACTCAGCGTCTTCCACTCCTTCTTTATTCAGATTTATCTAGCTGTCTTGGAAAAGTCTCTTCTAGTTGTGGTTTTTGTTTTCTTTTTGACCAGTAGCCTATTAAATGAAACTAATCCTGAAGGGGCAGAAATGCTGTGTGGCCATCCGGCTCAGACACAATGATCCAACGTAACAATGGCGTAAATGAGATGCTTTCTCTCCCACTTGGTAGTCTGGAGTTGTGCCAACACAGGGCACCTAGCAGGGCTCTTCCAGACTCCACACATGGCTTAACCCGGGTTGAAAGATGGCAGCCCCAGGCCCTGCTGTCAAGTGGCAGGGATGGCACAGGGTGCACATACTCCAAGGGCATCATCCAGTGGTTGCATGCACAGCTTCTGTTTGCCTTCCATTGTAAAGAATGTGGGCGCATGGTCCCGACGGCGGCAACAGAGGGTGAGGAAAACGGGCCTTATTCTTGGTGGCCATGTGTCTGGGCTTCCCTGCATCTGTTGTTTTTGTGTTTGAAGGAAGAATGACTTGGCAGTTGCATTTGGCCATCTCTGCCATAAGGTATTCCTGGAAATGACTGAACTATGTCACACTATACGACATTAAATTCCCAACTCATTGTAATGTAATGATAGGCTTTTTAAAATAAAACATTTATTTATTTGAAAGTCAGCATGATGCGGTAGAGGGGAGAGTGAGAGACAGAAGAGAGAGAGAGAGAGAGAGAGAGACAGACAGACACAAGAGGGAGAAAGGAGGGGGGAGAGAGAGAGAGAGAGAGAGAGAGAGAGGTCTTCCATCTGCTGGTTCACTCCTCAAATGGCTGCCACGGCCAGATCTGGGTCAGGCTGAAGCTGGGAACAAGAAACACTATTCTGGTCTCCCACATGGGTCACAGGGACCCAAGTATGTGGGGGCCGTATTCTGATGCCTTCCCAGGTGCATTAGCAGGGAGTTGGATCAGAAGCAGAACAGCGGGACATAAACCAGGCCTCCAATAAGGGACACCAGTCTTGCGAGTGCTGGCTTAACCCACTGTGCTGTAACACCAACCCCAATGATGGGATTTTATTCATGGTCAGACTATTTTGCCTCTACACTAAATAAGACTCATGCCATTAATATTCATTTTGAGTTCTTCAACTTTTTTTTTAGGTTTTCTTTTTATTTCTTCTCAGGGTATGAGCTGTCAGGGCTCACTGCTGTAATCATGCTTTCTTTTCTTTATAATTTTTCTTTTTTTGTCATTGGATTTTGAAAATCCACTTGTAAGAATGACACACATGGAGGGAAGTTCGTAAGTCATGATAGCACAGCATGATGAAAACAGTAACACTTCCCCGTGAGCACCATTCAGGTCGAGAAGGGGACCCTTGTATTTCAGAGGCACTTTTTGTGTGCCCTCCAAGAGTCAGGACTTCCTTCTAACCTTTGACGCCATGGTTCATTATTGTATATTTTTTTTTTGGACAGGCAGAATGGACAGTGAGAGAGAGAGAGACAGAGAGAAAGGTCTTCCTTTTCCGTTGGTTCACCCCCCAATGGCCATCGCGGCCAGCACATAGCACTGATCCAAAGCCAGGAGTCAGGTGCTTCCTCCTGGTCTCCCATGCGGGTGCAGGGGCCCAAATACTTGCACCATTCTCCACTGCCTTCCTGGGCCACAGCAGAGAGCTGGACTGGAAGAGGAGAGCAACCGGGACCGAATCCGGGGCCCCGACTGGGACTAGAACCTGGGGTGCCAGCGCTGCAGGTGGAGGATTAGCCTATTGAGCCATGGCTCCAGCCAGTATTGTATGTTTTTGAATTTATATATGTGGAGTCACTGAATATACATTCCTTCTAATGTCACATCTTTCTCAGTATCATGCCTCTCAGATTCATTGATGATACTGTACATAATAGCAGTGCATTCATTATTTATTACTCACAGGATCATATGAATACATCAATTTATTTATTCATTATGTTTTTGGTGAACAATTGGGAGCCTTTTGCTTCCAGCTCACACAAGTACAGTTGCTGTGCCTACTACTGTATGTATCTTTCAGAGCATACATGTATATATTTATTAGGCATATGTAGGTCCTAGAAATGCAAGTTTATAGAGTAACTGGGAATGCATATATTCATTTTTCTTGTCTTATTGTGCTTGGATTTCTAGTACATTACCAAATAGAAGTCATCATAAAGAGATTTATTGTCTTTCTCTGGACCACAAGAGAAAAAGTTTAATGATTTCACCATTAAGTAGGATAGCTTGCTTTCGCATTTTTCCTAACTATCATTTTTTAGATTAAGAAAATTCTTTCTAATCCAAGTTTCTCAGGATAATCTCTAATGGAAGGATATTGAATTTTATCAGATAATTTTTCTATTCCTATTGATATTGTTATATAACATTCCTCTTTATTCTGTTAAGGCAATATATTTTATTAATTTTCAAAGCTCAAACCTTGCATTCTTGAAATAAACTCAACTTGTTTGTGATGTATTATTCCCAGATAATCCATGTATAAAAGAAGATATTGCATTGAAAATTATATATTTTGAACTGATTGACTTGAATGTATGATATCTATCATGTACTAAATATGACGTTCTTATAATATTCTTATAGTTTTTGACCTAGTTTATAACAGTTTGATTTATTAGGTCTAATATAAACTATTTTTGCAACCTCAGAAAAAAAAACAGAATTTCAAGTATTTTAACTCCAGTTAGACTCCTTGAAATTTCTGGACTATTGAAGCTATTATGGGTTATAATTTGTCCTCCAAAAATATGGTGAAGTCCTAACCCTGGGAACCTAGGAATATGACATTATTTGGAAATAAGATCTTTGTAGATGTAGTTAAGATGATTCCACATTATATTAGTAAAGGCCCCAATTCAACGACTGGTGTCATTATAAAGAAGAAGAAAAGAACTGAGTACAGGCACATACTAGTCAGGGCCAAGGGAAGACAGAAGCAGAGATCAACACAATGCATGGGTGGGCCAAGGAATGTTAAGGGATGCTGCCAACCAAGAGATGCTAGGAGGGGGCAAGAGAAGGTGACCCTCCAGAGCCTTCAGAGACCACAGCCCAACTGATGCACTTATTTTAGACTTTCATCTCCAGAGCTGTGAGACTATCAAGTCCTGCCTTAGACGCCAAGTGTGCAGTAACTTGTTAGCCCTCCCTGGGAACCTGATACAACTGTCTTGCACTTAAGTTCTACATAAATGTTAAACCCTGAATTAAAATATGAGCATTCTTCTATATGATAAGTAGTCATGTGCTCACTGTGTTCTGTTTTCACTTTCCATCACTTCACCCTCATATTCCTGCATCCATCTGGAATAACTGCCTTGCTACTCAAGGTATTTGCAGCAGTATTTCCCAAGTGTGGGTTGGCTGTGGATGAATCCCCTCCATTTTCATTTGCCAATAAATGTTTGAATTAAACCTTCACCTTTTGCTAGATATAGAACTCTGAAATAGTAGTGCATTTAGTAAATGGAAGATACAGTAACTTTCATTATTCAGGTCTTTGAAGGTTTATTATGATGCACCTACGTGTGATTTTCTTTGTGTTTATACTGTCAGAGATTTCTTGTTCTTGATGCTGTGGTTTGATGTCTTTCATCAGTTTTTGAGAATTTCCCCCCTTATTTCCTTAAATGTTGTTATGCTCCAATCTCTTCATTCTCTCCTGCGACTGAAATTGCAACTCTGCTCAACCCACTTGTCCTTAGTTTTGTTTTAACCTCCTTTGTTCTTCCTTTATCTTATCCTTCTTCCCGGCTTTCCTTCCTAGGCTTTGGAATAATTGGTACTCCACTTCATTTCTCCATGTGCATCCAAAATTCTCATTAAAACACCAATCTAATTTCATGAGACACCCGTCTTCTTTCCTGTCTGTCCTCCACCGAGCATATCCTAAAAAACTAGTATGTGTCATACCTCGGGCATGGGGCAGGTATTGAAACAGTGTGCAAGATGAAGCTATTCCCATCCTTTTAGCACTCACTCATCTAGTGATAAAGAGAATGTACAATAAAGTACAATAGATGCACTGATTGATAGGGGAACTCTAAGAAGTTACTAGGAAAACACACTAGGAGCACAAAACTCATATGGAATGTGGCCAAGGATGGATCCTTTAGAAATTGTTACACATCAGTAGAGGCTTTAAAAATAAATTGTTAATGTGAAGAGGAGAGAGTGAGAGAACATATGAAGGCCTAAAGGGAGTTGGGGAATGTTTGAGAAACTGAAAGAACTTCAGATGGTTCAGGTCCAGAATGTAAGAAGATAAATGCATGAGAGAAAAGCTGGCCCAGTCTACAAAGATGCCTGATTTCACTGGTTTGGACTTCATCCTGAGGACAATGGGAGAGAAACACAGATTTTTAAATAAAGAAGAGATGGTGATGATATATAAAATAGTGTGATTGGTTAGATGTGGGAGCTGAGAAGGGCAAAGGAATAAAGAAAGATTTTCAGACTCAGCCCTTAAGGCATTCGGATCTGGGGGAAAAACCCATGAGAGTATTTCAGGCAAGGAAAGCCAAGACACTCTGGCAAAAAAATTGAAATGACCTAAATGAAAGATCTCCGCGAGTGAGATCCCAGTGGAAAGAACAGGTCATCAAAGAAGGAGGTACCTTTCTCTGAAGGGAGGAGAGAACTTCCACTTTGACTATGACCTTGTCTAAATAAGATCACAGTTGGCGAACTCAAAAGGCTTCCATAGCCTTGGCAACTCATGACAAGAGCCTAGGGTAACTACTGATGCCATAAACAAGAGTGTCAATTTGTTAAGTCAACAACAGGAGTCACTGTGCACTTACTCCTCATGTAGGATCTCTGTCCTTAATGTGCTGTACATTGTGTGATTTAATGCTATAACGAGTACTCAAACAGTATTTTTCACTTTGTGTTACTGTGTGGGTGCAAACTGTTGAAAGCTTTACTTAATATATGCTAAATTGATCTTCTGTATATAAAGAGAATTGAAAATGAATCTTGATGTGAATGGAAGGTGAGAGGGAGTGGGAGAGGGGAGGGTAGCGGGTGGGAAGGAAGTTATGGGGGGGAAAAAGCCATTGTAATCTATAAGCTGTACTTTGGAAATTTATATTCATTAAATAAAAGTTAATAAAAAGAGATTTTCAGGTTATCTTGGGTTCTGAATGACATTCAGTTAGCTATGAGAAAACATAAAGTAACACAATTTCAGGGAACAATTTTGAACATTTTGAGGAAGAGACACTTGTAGGGCATCCATGGAGAGATTATAAGTAATCAGCTTCATCAATCGATAATTCAGAACAGAGGGTAGGGCTGGACATACAGATGTTGGACTCTTTCCTACTCCATTTCTTTTTTTCTCATTGCTGTCAGAGTTCTCTTTCAAATACAAATCTAACATGAGATACTTGCTTAAAAACCGCTGGTGTCTCCTCATTACCTGGATGATACAGTTGAAACACTAACATGGTGGTGTGAAAATACCTCTAAAATCTAGTTCCTGTCCAACTTTCCAGGCTAACCCTCAACATCTATCCATACATTTCAACTGGGAATAATAGATCACTATTCCCTAACACAAAGTTTACCCTCATGTTCTCATGCTTTTAACATGGGCTCTTTCTTTGACACAGAATGATTTGCCCATCCTCTTTCAACCTCTTCATCCTTCAGGATCTTAATTCAAATGCTATCTCCCTTTGCATTAGTTTGTAACACATAAATCCCAGGTATGTTCACATGTGTGCATGTGTACACACACGTACTCCTGATTCTTCCCTGGAGTAAGTATCATTTTGACTTACTTGAGGCTAGATCAGGCCTAGTTGACCGAGACGTGGGCAGTCCACTCAAGCTTCTTCCAGGAGTGAACGTGTCGTATGGTTCAATCAGAGGAGAGTAGGGATGCGCAGAGACAGAGGGACTGTGGCACCAAGGGCTGTGGTTGGGGAAGAGGGTTGGTGGGATTTCCTTTTCTCTGTTAAAAAGAAAAAAGCCCAACTTGAACTCAAGAGCCATTCTCTGCAGTGACAACAGTGCTAAAGGCACAGTCAAATCCAAAGCACGTTTCAAGACCAAGAGAAGGCGGTTTTGCCAGCCCTGTGGGCAGAGCTCTTACTATATCAGAGAAACATTCACCTACAAAGGAGTAACGTATTCTGGACCTCTGTCCACAGCCAGCTCTCGATCGAGATGGAATCCTTATGTGCCCCCCCTGCACCAGGGCCTGGGTCACTTCTGGACCTCTCCGTAGCCACCTTGCTCTGACAGTAATGCCAAGGGAAAGGAAGTGGCTCGGTGATCTCAGGATGTGCCACCAATATCGCCAGCCTGTGCTGTCCCTCCAGTATGTGCCTGCCCACTCTGTTTCCATGCTTTTCACATGAGTCCTATTCCAGATCAATTTTTTAAACCACAGTTGACTTATTTATCCTATATCTGTCACCCAGTCATTCCCACAAGCTCAGTTACTGTGGGAAGGATTCAATAAAAACCACCAAAAAAAAAAAAAAAAACCCAGATACTTACCTCTTGAGAAAATGTTGATCTTGCTCCACCTCATACGTTGAGGTAGCTTTCTTAGGCTGGTCTTGTTTATCTTTAGCTACTGAAGTTGTAGACATTGTCCATCGAAACATGTGCCTTCGGAATGTTGGAGTGACTACTGCACATCTGTCAAATTCTATGTCAGATTCTAATTTTTCCCATGCTTGCTTCCAGTGGATAGGGGTATACCAGGCAATGGCCTAATGAAAATGATTTTGCAATAAAATTTGATTTTTAAACTTATATTTACTTATTCAAATGGCAGAAAAACAGAGAGATGGAGAGAGAGAGAGAATTCCCATTCTGTGGTTCATTCCCCAAATGCCTGCAACAGCTGGGCCTAGATTAGGCCAAAGCCAAGAGCCAGAAACTCAATCCAGGTCTTTCATATGGGTGGCAGGAATTCAAGTACTGTTTCCTCCCAGGAAGGCAAGAATCTGAACTCAGAAACTGAGCTGGGAGTTGGACCCTCACATTCTGATGTGGCATGTCATCAACCTAAGTGGCATCCTAACTGCTGATCCAAATATTTGCCCCTACTTGTTTTTTTATTTTTAATTTATACAGGGTCAGCACTGTGGCATAGTAGGCTAAGCCTTTGCCTGAGGCACGGCCATTCCATACAGGAGCCAGTTCATACCCTGGCCGCTACTCTTGTGATCCATCTCTCTGCTTATGGCCTGGGAAAGCAGTAGGGGATGGAGAAATTTGGAGAAATGTCTGTTCAAGCCCTTTGCCCAGTTTTTTTTTCTTTTTTTGACAGGCAGAGTGGACAGTGAGAGAGAGAGACAGAGAGAAAGGTCTTCCTTTTGCCGTTGGTTCACCCTCCAATGGCCGCCGCGGCTGGCGCGCTATGGCCGGTGCACCGCGCTGATCCGAAGCCAGGAGCCAGGTGCTTCTCCTGGTCTCCCATGGGGTGCAGGGCCCAAGCACTTGGGCCATCCTCCACTGCACTCCCGGGCCACAGCAGAGAGCTGGACTGGAAGAGGGGCAACCGGGACAGAATATGGCACTTTGCCCAGTTTTAAATTTGGTTATTTGTTTTTCTGCTATTGAGTTACAAAGGTTCTTTATAAAGTTTCGATTTTGACCCCTTATCAGATATATGGTTTGCAAACATTTTTTTCCTGAACTGTAGGATGCTGTTTCCATTTGTTGACTATTTTCTTTTCTGTCCAGAGGCTTTTCAGTTTGAAGTAGTACCATTTACTTAGTTTTTCTTTTGCAGCCTTGGGTTTTCGTGTGATATATTTTTAAAAAACCCACTGTCAAGGTTAATGTCAAGGGACAATCTCCTTATGTTTCCTTCTAAGAGTTTTACATTTCTGGGTCTTTTGTTCATTTTGCTTTTTTTGTTTGTTTTATGTATTTATTTATTTGAAAGAGCTACAAAGAGAGAGAGAGACTCACACAGAGAGATCTCCATCTAGATCTCGGTCTTCTATCTGGACACTCCCCAGATGGCCGCCACCACCACAGGGGCTGGGCCAGACAGCAGCAGTGGGGACAATGCCCACATGGGATACTGCCATCACAGGTGGCAGATTCACCCACCACGCCACAGCTCCAGCCCCCTTCTACTCATTCTGAATTGCTGTTTGTGTACAGCGTTAGATAGGGTGCAACATACTTAAAAAAAAAACACCCTGTAATTTTCATTTAACTACCATTTGGATTAGTGAACCACAGGCTGAGGATGCAGCAAGACAAGCTGGCCTTTGTTTCTACTTTTAAAAACGACAAGCTGTACCATCTCGGGCAGGCCAGCCATCTGCTGCGTGTCTAAGATGGAAGGGAGTGATGGGGAACTGCTTGTAAAGGTACTAAAAAACTTGGGTCAGCCACTGAATCGTATCGCTGTAAAGATCTGTGCAATAGTCATTGTACAATTAACGCGTTCACATGGTAAACACTGAAACAAATACACTGTGTGCGTGTGTATGTGTGTGTGCGTGCGTGTCCTTACATGTTGATGTCTTATTTGAGATGGAGAAATGAGCAGAAGTAGAGACATGAAAAAGAAGGCATGTTCTCAGGCTCTCGCCCTGGGCAGGAGTATTAAGGACACTCACAAGCACTAATGCTGGTGTTTGCTTTGTGGTATATGCACAACATATATGTGCAAAAATTTTTCAGCCAAGTCCTGCATAGGAATCACATATCTCTCCAGCAGGGGAAAATTAAGCACCAAAGTATGCCCGAACATTCTAATTATTCTTCTGGTCTTTCGTTGATAAAATTAAGGGTTTGAACTTTTGTGCTCTAAACTTGGAAAAAAATGCCCTGGGTGCCTTGACAAACTAAATAGACATAAAGACTACACACAACAAGCTCAGCTACAGTAGGCCCACTGTAGGAAAGAGAAACACAAAGTCTTTTTTAAAAGAACAGTAAAAAAAAGTCCTGCTTTGGTGCAGATCATTCGTTAGCGATTCTCTTCTTTAGTAGCTGAAACAGTACCATTTACATTGAAAATATGTTGACCTTTGTAGTGAGATTTCTTACATTGTATGCCTGTCCTAGACAAGAGTACTTTTTGTCCCTGTGATGTTGGCACATAAAAGCATTTGATGACAATGACAAAAATGTAATAAAATTTAACCTCACCTCCACAATGTCGGCCACATGGACCCTGTAGACTATTCTTAGCGCAATAGGAAAATTCTTGCATGGTTTTATTTTAGCTCTGTAATTTTCCTAATTGTGTGACCTGGAGCAAGCCATTTAACTTTCCAAGTCCCATTTTCCTCCTTTGTAAAATTCCTAAACAGGACTGGGAGTCCAATAAAAGAATGCAAATATAAATAACCTATCAGTGAGCTCCTAGCACATAGGAACGGTCTGTGGTCCAAGCCCAGATCTCTCATGGCAGACAAGGCATCGAGGGGGAGCCAGACACTGAATAAATAAAGGCTAACCATTAACTTTCTGGCATGTAATGAGGAGGCTACAAATCTGATAGCAGGGACCACAGTGTGACTGGTGGAAAAAAATCTAGTCCTGTTTTAAGAACCCACAGACTCCTAGAATCCTCCTGATGCCATCAGGAACTCCAACATGTTCCTGGAAGATGGAATTAAATGGTGCAAAATATTTTGATGTCCATGTATTTGAGGAATATTCAGAGTTCATGAGAAATGCATGTTATGAGCAAACTATACATGGATTTCAAATTTGCAGAAAAATAAACTTATTCTTTCACCCACTTTTCTGCAAAATTTTGGCAGTGCCTTTGTACTTAATTTCACAGTAAATAAAGTACAGTCCCTTCATAAAAAGACTGTAAACTCATTCAGATTATTAGACTCTTGGGAGTAAATATGATGTCTCAATCCATGCTCTAGTCCCAGTACTTAGCACCACTCTCTGAATAGAGAAGAATCTCAATAACTATTTGAGAAGTGAATAGATGACTATTAACAGGCCTTTATGTAGTACTTTCCTTATCCAGCTCATCAAGCTAAATACTACACACAGAAAATTTATCTGTGACAGTGGCTTCTCAGAATTGGGGACCATCAACAACACTTTTGGCCAGTGTGCTAGCTCTTTGGCACTTTGACATCGGGAAGAGGGTGCTGATGTGTAACAGTATTTAGTGCTGATTCGATCCAAGCTTTTAAGGCTGGAAAAGTAACTTAGTGAGCTAAGAAGCTAAGAGGGACACAGAGAGGAGTATCCACTGCATGAAGAATCACTGCCAAGCGCCCGACACTGACTTCACCATTAGGCTTGCATAGGATTGTTGTGCAGTCTGGGCTTGTTCTGAATCTGTCTTGTTCCTTCCAGAGAAAATCTGGTGGTGGCTGATGCTTCGCTTCTGACGCTGCTGCCCATACCTGTAGGAAGATGCTTTCTTAGTGACAAATGCCAGTGGAGTTCCGTGTAGGTTTTGTAAATGTCATTGGGTGATGGCAACAAAATCTTCCTGAACAGATGAGTTGTTCAAATATATTGACTGCAGAGCCGACGCAGTGGCATAGCAAGTACAGTCACTGACTGCAGTGGGGGCATCCCATGTGGGCGCCGGTTCTAGTCCCACCTGTTCCACTTCCAATCCAGCTCTCTGCTATGGCCTGGGAAAACAGTGGAGGATGGCCCAAGTGCTTGGACCCCTGCACCCACAAGGGAGACCTGGAGGAAGCTCCCAGCTCCGGTCATTGCGGCTGTTTGGGAAGTGAACCGCTGGATGGAAGACCTCTCTCTCTCTTTGCCTCTGCTTCTCTGTAACTCTGCCTTTCAAATAAAATAAATAAATCTTAAAAAATATAATGACTGCATGATATATGATATCAGACAATGTAACACCCAATAGTTACTATACATGGCATAAAGATATGCATAAGAACAATGGAGGGATCTTCTAGTATCAACCAATTATCTGATTTCTTAAAGTAAATAATCTCTTCCCTTATCATTTTAGAATTATATTAGCTTGGCTTTGGGATAACAGAATTTCATTTTTAAAGACCTATTTATTTGAAAAGCAGATGCATACACACACATACACACTGAGATAGAGAGCAAGAGAGAGAAAGATCCCATCTGCTGGTTCACTTCCCCAAATGCCTACAAAAATCAAGGCTGGGCCACTCTGAAGCCAGAATTCTATTACTATTCCAGGTCTCCTCTATGCGTGACAGAGATCCAAGTTCTTGAGCCATCATCTGCTGTCTCTTAGGGTACACTCTAGCAGGAAGCTGGGACTGGAAGAGGTAACGGGACTTGAACCCAGAAACTCTGGCATAGGATGTGAGTGTCCCAAGTAGTGACTTACTGGCACCAAACACCCTTCCTGGGAACAAAAGGATTCTATACAAACTAAAATAAAACTGAGGAAATTTAATTATGGCTATTAATTCACCTCTAGAGGATGGAGAAAGTGGTATGATTAACAACAACAGACGGAAGTCACATCTTCTGTAGCAATGTGTGATGATGAGACTACAGGGCTGAGCCACAGGCTGCCAGTGTGAGCTGAGTTTCTCCTTGACACCCCTCGTTCATAGTGTTTCTGTCACATACTCACTGTCACTGTGGAATTGGCCTGCATTACAATGTTCGGGAGGAATCGGTACAAGGAGAGCGCTTGTCCATTCACGTTTTGCTGCAGAATATGATTTCCAATGTCTAGTTCTTTGTCACGTGAAGCATTGATGAGCCTTACGAATAAACCCTGCACATTGACTTCTGCTATTTTGATATCACCAAGAGAACTAGAAAATAAAATGCAAAGATCATGAAAAGATTATCTTAGGCTCATTTCCAGAACTGACTTATAAATATGCTTTGAAAGGTGTCTCCATGTTGTACTACCTAGAAATATTCTATTTCATAGCAACCTAAAACAAATGGCTTGATCTCCTGGTTCCGTTTATTGCTGCAATAAAATGACTTATTTCATGTAAAACAATGAAGGAAAACCTCAAAGTGCCTCAGGTGTCAAGGAATGAATACCATGAGAAGGTGTGATTTTAACTATTTAAATTTCCTATTGTTGAAGATAAAACTACTCAGTTGTGAAAAATCTTAAAGGAGGATCAGGTGACAAGCCATTGGGTTGACATGAGAGAAAGTGACTGTGGACACGAGAAACATGAAAACATCATTCAAAGTAAGATGGCATTTTTTACCTTCTAACTTGTGTCAAGAGTTTCGAGTCTAGAGTTCCAAGGACCAGGTTCATCACTTATATAATGGCATTTTTTTAAGAGTATGGGCCACAACCTTTAGCAGGTCATGAAATCCCTTTGGTGGGTTAGATCAGCATTTTAAGGATAAAATATACTTTCACCAATGATATTCACCTAAATGACTATGTACCAGGCACTTAAAAAATACATATGAGGGACCCTTATCAGGTTCATAGAAAGCGAGTATTATGAAAAAACTGCAGGCAGGTGGATTTCAAAGTTTTTTGCACCAAAATAAAATCTTTTCATTCCATTTCCCCCACAAACTTTGGGGAACAGTCTCATGCGTCCATGTCTGTGCCTCCCTCATCTGTCTCCATCCACACCAATATTTGCACAATTTCTTATCTACAGTTCCAACATTCAAATGAGAAAACAAAGAAAAAGTTTCAAGTATTTGAAGCAAAAGCTGACCCAAAATTGAAGTGAGGTTATTTATATTCTTCATTCAAGGTTTATGTGAATACGCTTATATTTTACTGTGGAAGATTAATGTTTGATCTTTTTTTTATTCTTCTCTAAGCTCTGAGGGATGTTATACAACATGTTTCGTGGGCATCACATTATTTTCCTAAAATTATTCAAAGCCTTCATTTGGAAATGAATTAGTCTTCAAATACTTTGATGAAGGCATTGTGGACTCACTTTATTCTCACAATACCATGCATATTTTTCATTAAAATATTTCTACATATTTCTTATTGAAGGTCACAATCAAAAACCAATGTGAAGAACACTGCGCTTTCTTGTTTATTTCTCCTAACAACCCTGTGAAAAAATGTTATTTTTAGTCTCATTTCATAGATACACTTAAATTTAGAAAGATGCATTTTTCCCAAGTCGTTCAACCTGTTGGCCAAGTCTGAACAGGTCTCTCTCTCTAATCCTTCACAGCTGATCTGTGACCCAGTTCTGTTGATTCTACCTCTTTAGTGACTTCTCCATCACAATGGCTGCAATCATTGTTAGACTCTCACCATCTCTGTGTGGCATGGTATCAACACTCCCATGGGTTTCTTGAGCCCTGCCCCCTCCTAATCATCCTCCACCCTCCTTTTTGTTTCCAGAGCAATCTTTGTACAATCCAGATCTGACACTGCACTTCCCTGCTGGAAATCCTTCAGGGTTTGAACATTTCCTGCCAGAGAAAACAAGGCCCAGGTAATCTGCAAGTTTCTAGTCTCTCTCTCCCTGCTTCCTACCCCGTGCTCCAAGTCTCAGAAAGAGCACAATTTTCATGCCACTGTGTGCTTCACTCACTGCCTATGCGAGTGCCGCTCCTTCTTCTTCTTCGTAGTCTTGCTTTCACTTCAAATTTTCAGACTTCCAAACTTTTTTCAGTATCATGGGTAGAACATGGTAACTCACTGCTATTTTCTTTTTCCCCAATTATAGGGAAAAACCATCCATGCATGCTTTTAATAATATACATTTTTCTAAGAGCTTTTCGAAGACCCCTTGTGTGCAAGGATTTTGAATTTTTTGTATCAAAATAAACTTATCTTTTACTTCCATTTTCCTTGAAAATATATTTTAGGCTGATTTCTAACCACTGGTTCTCTGTGATTAGGTTTGGATATTGTCTTTTGAGAATATTCCAGTTCAATAATTATTCTGCTTTATCACATGCACTTTTAGACCCATATACTGAAATAGCAATTTCCTTAATTGAAATTTTTTTTAATTCCCAGAACTTGCTTCTGATTATTTTTAGTTTCCAACTCTGTGCTAAGATTTTTATATTGTTATTTAACTCATTGTTATTTTACAGTTCCTGTCAGATGATCACAATTTCTGGACATCCTATGGCTATTTCTAGTATCCATTTTCAGTCTTGGTTTTTACTCAACTTTTCTATTACATTCATCTTCTTATTTAGTGACTAGTATTATAGGTTTAAAAAGTCCAGAGAAAATTTGAGGTTCTGTGTTATGTTTAATCACTCTAGACAATGTTTCCTTTGTCTCTGACAGGCATGCAAATTGAGGGAAAAAATCACTTTAATTGAATCAAGGTGTGAAATGATTTGCACTAGGCTGGTCTATTTTGGATATGTTTAGGTATGTAGCCTTACTACTGGATATGCCCTTCTAAGTTCCAAATGAAGGCACAGGACAGTTTTCAATGATTTTCTTTCTTAACAAGCCCTGAATGCCAACCTTTATTCACATCATTCTATGATCCTTCCAAATTCCCCAACTTCTAAGCTTCTTAACTGCTGCTTTCAAATTAGCAAATGTGGTGGAGAAGGTGGCTCCAAACGTCCAGCTGTCACTTTGGGTTCCCATTCCTTGAGGAGACATCATGAGAAGAAAGAATATTTATGTCTATGACATTCCTCCAGACATGCAACAAAACTCCCCTGCACCCCTCCCTTTTTTTTTTTTTTTTTTTTTTTTTTTGACAGGCAGAGTTAGACAGTGAGGGAGAGAGAGAGAAAGGTCTTCCTTCCATTGGTTCATCCCCCAAATGGCTGCTACGGCTGGCGGGCGCACTGCGCTGATCCGAATCCAGGAGCCAGGTGCTTCTCCTGGTCTCCCATGGGGTGCAGGGCCCAAGCACTTGGGCCATCCTCCACTGCACTCCCGGGCCACAGCGGAGAGCTAGACTGGAAGAGGAGCAACCGGGACAGAATCCAGCACCCCGACCGGGACTAGAACCTGGGGTGCTGGCGCTGCAGGTGGAGGATTAGCCTAGTGAGCCACGGCGCCGGCCCAAACTCCCTTTCAAATAGTGGTCTCACTTCCTGATCCCACTGAATTGTATGAGAAAACCTGTTTTAGAGCTGTTTACTTTTTTTTTTAAATATTTATTTATTTATTTGAAAGTCAGAGTTACACAGAGAGAGGAGAGGCAGAGAGAAAGAGACAGGTCTTCCATCCACTAGTTCACTCCCAAATTGGCCAGAGCTGTGCTTATCCGAAGCCAGGAGCCAGGAGCTTCTTCTGGGTCTCCCATGTGGGTGCAGGGGCCCAAGCAAGGACTTGGGCATCTTCTACTGCTATCCCAGGCCACAGCAGAGAGCTGGATCAGAAGTAGAGCAGCTGGGACTTGAACCAGTGCCCATATGGGATGCCGGTGTTGCAGGTGGCAGCTTTATCCACTACGCCACAGCACTGGCCCCCCAGCTGTTTACTTTCAAAAAACTGATATAACAATTTCATTTTTTGCATTATTGTCACGATTTTTACTAGGTTGTCAGTGTAATATTTCACTCATCTTCAGCATCCCTGGAACACCTCGATGTCATCCTTATCTTAGTGAATTCTTTATGGAATGCTTTTGTTTTTTACAGAATAGGTTTTTGATTTTTAGACTTATTTTCTCTACCAAGGAGAATTATCACGATTTGTTTTTAAATAGATATGACCCCTGGGCTAGCTCAGTTATCCTTTTGTTATCATCCATACAATTGAATATTTACAGTTGCTTTTCAACCATCTCTCAATATTTAAGCATTTTTTATTCACTAATACTACATTTTTATTTACGCAAATAAGTGGAATAAATTAGCTTGTTTGAAAGAAAAAAAAAATCTTGTCCTTATCAGGGCACCTTTTTTTTCCTTCCTTTTGATAGAAGACCTAACAGTACAGGAAAACATCTATACAATACACGGAAACTGAGAGGCAGTTGCTAATCTGCCATCACACAGCCTTAGGAGTTATCTCTTCCCCTGCCTCCAAGCCTTGCCATCCATCTTCAGTGGGAAAGGATCTGAGACCTCTCTTACAATTGGATAGGCAGAGAGTGGAGACTGATGTCCTAATCTTCCTGTCAGGGCATTTATGCGTGGCTGACATGTAGAGAGACTGAAAAGACACATGGCCATGTCACTTTAAAAAAAAAAATCACTTTCCATTATTTAAACACTGATGTATTTAGCTGTTGGGCTCTGCTTTTAGGTTCATGCCGCTCTACACTTTGTTGAAATTATTGTTCTAGTGTTTCCATCCTTCCCAGCTGTACCTAAAACTCTCCACTACAGGTTGGCGTCTGTTTGTAGTGGTGGGGAGGGGGTCACAGCTGGTGAGAAGCTGTGGCACTGAGGATCCGACTCGGGGAACATGGTTCAGTCCTTCGGTTCTGCAAGAGCAGTGCCTCCTACCCTGAGTTTTGGTGATAGCTCTTTGATGTGATGAAGAGGCAGGTTTTTACCCACTAACACAGGGTTCCGAATGACCCGGGGAAGGAAAAAGATGGAGCTGAATCTGAATCAGAGCCCTTTAGGAGCAGGAGTAGATTTGCAGCTTCAGAAACGCCTTTGCGTCAGAGCTCTTGGTGTGGTTATTTATCCGGGAGGTCCTCTCAGTCCACAACTTACTACCCTTGCGACGCCACACTTGGAGAATTAGAATTGCTTGGGGCAGAGATGAAGGACGGATGAGCAACTAGCCTTCTTAATATTGTTTCATCACTCCGAGGCATCTAGAGCTGTGTGAGATAATGCATAATCAGCCAAACTTTTAATACTATTTCTACCTTGCTTCCTATTTGCCTACAAGGTCCTTTGTCCTTCTGTT